TCTCTCTCATGATTTTTTATAGAATGCCAGGCATTGCAGGTAAAATATTCAAAAGATTCTAGGAAATATATATTCCTCCCCACCGACTCCCCAAAAAAGAGGATCAGATTTTCTTTTGGCAGGCAGACAGCGTGCAAGCAGACATCCTTGATTCTGTAAAGCAAGAATGTGAAACTCGAGGCCCATGGGCCGCATGTGGCCCACAACGAATATTTTTGCAGCCCAGCCAATAACAGTATGTAAGAAACATTTTAATAAAAATTTTATACCTCAATTTTTACAATATCCTGTTATACATAATTATTAATAACAAACTACAATGTTCGCTGATGACTGATTACTATAATCGTGTTGTATTCATTCCCTTACACGCCTTATGTGCAGGCGCAGCATTTCTCTCCACATAATAACAGCAGTGAATATTTTAGCAGCCAATTGCCACATCATTAGTCTTGGACAGACTTGTTTGGTGTGCTCAACAGGAAATATTCTGCTTTCGGATAACAAGAAAAATAGGTTTATTTGCATTATGCTTATTAATTTGTGCAGTTATTCAGTGTCTGGTAAGTTGATGTTCAAGAAAAAATATTCATTTTTATTAAATGTTCTATTATTTTATGTTAATCATTACTCATTTATTTCAGCCCTTTCTATTCAGCATGTCTCTATCAAAATAAACCTATGTTTCTATGAAAATTGAAGCTTTTGTTTTTTTGCAGCCCACATAAACATAAACCTTTGTTATTTGACCATGTTAGCCTTTGAGTTTGACATGCTTGCTGTAAAGGGCTGGTTTTAGGCTTTGTCATGGCTTGTTTGTGTAGTTTTTTACTTACTACTAGGGCATGATCCTTGTGAGGTTTTAGCCTTTCGAATCTTATCTGACTTGAACTCCAATCACTTACCTCCTCTGCTTGTAGAAGTCACCAACAACCCCACACTGTCCAATACAGAAAGAAACATTTTTCCATCTTCATCTTAACAGAAGCACCTGACACAAGGTCTACTCTAAAGTAGACACTAAGCTCTACAAACCAACACTGATTTCTAACTACTTCACCTTTTCTTGCCCCCGCATCAGGGAGAAACAGGTAAACATTAAGTAATCCCTCATTACCCAAATCAAATAGTTCCTGTATTTTGGAAAGGGAGTGGTCTGAGTTGAAAGAGTAATAGTCTGAATAGTACTTGCTTTCCAAGCCTTCCTAATAGCCAGGAAGTAGCCATGTAAAATGAGCTTGTCTGTTGATATTTCTGGGAAGGCTTTTGCTTTCTCAGAAACACACACACACACACACACACACACACACACACAAAATAAAACAAAACAAAACAAAACAAAACCAAAAACAAAAACATAGCTAGTGCTGCCTCATCCCCTCCTTTTGGCCTGAAATAAAAACTTGGCAGTAGAGATGCTGCTTCTAGATGAGTATCGTCCCACACGCAAACAACAACTATGCGACCTGGTTATACCATCCTGTACTCGCCTTGCTGGTATCATCAGGTAACACTTATCACCTGCTTATGCCTCATCACTCATTGAACACCACGGAACTTGGTTCCCTATAGCATCTTTTCTTTGTGTGTGTGTGTGTGTGTGTGTGTGTGTTTTAGTGAGAGAGGAAGGAAGAGGGAGAGAGAAACATTGATCCAAGAGAGAAACAATGATTGCTTGCCTCCTGTATGCAACCTGACTGGGGATCAAACTCACAACCCGGTATGTGCCCTGACTGGGAATCGAATTGGTGACCTTTAGGTACACCAGGCTACGCTCAACCAACTGAGCCACACTGGTCAGCGCTACAACATCTTTTTAAAGGCTCCATCCACATTTCCTAGCCTGAATTTGAGTTCCTTGAAATCTTCAGTTAACTTTACTTGCACCACTTCTTTTAGTCACACACACACTCTCATGGGCACATCCTTACTTTATCAACTGAAAGTACTCTACCTATGAAATATTTACTTCAAATATTTTTTTTGACCTGATTCTCACATCTATGCATGTCCCTGTCACTATAACTCCCTTACCTCAGTTTTAATACCTTACTGATAGCACCAGTCCTCTAACCACTCTACTTTTTTCCTATATAAGTGCCCCATTCAAAATTAACTACTTAACAGAGTAAAAAAAAATTATTAAATTCCTACACTGTGGGAAGAGCAGGGCTACAGAAAAAAAACTAGACAAAACCATTCCTTTAAGAAACTTAAAATGATGATAGGGAGAGCTATCAATTCAGTAACAACAACAAAATAAATGACAAATTCTGTTAACTTAAAGAAAGTGAATAAGGCACCGATTGAGAAAGACAAGAATGTGGGAGAAGGGATCAGGTTAAAGAAGTCTTCCTTTAGGAAGTGATGTTTGAGCCCAGCCCTCAAGGATAAGAAGAGTAGTTGGTAGAAAATGTTGGGCAGATAGGCAAACATGTGCAAAGGCCCTTTTCTCAGAGGGTCCTTCTGTCCTCATCCTTCTGTTCTGACTGTGTGGTCTTCTCCCTCTTAGCCAAGCTCTTTTGTCTGATCCACTGTATTCCTTCTTGACCTCATCTTCTATATTTCCCTTCTCCTTTCTCCCCAATTTCCCTCTTTTCTTTTTAGCCAGCATGTAATATAGAACAAAAGAATGTTTAATTTATTGGTTTAATAATTATTATATTATTTATTATCAGCTAAATAATTAACTATTTTCTTAATTTAAAAAAAGTAGTCTGTGCAAATTTTCTTTAAGTTAGATGAAATCTGCAGAATTTAATCTTGGGCCACTCAAATGATTTTCTTCCTTGTGAATTAGTATAATCTCACTAGAAAGAAAAGCAAACATTAACAGTTCAGTTGACGGCAAGTGAAATCATTTCTCAACTTTACCTAATCATTTTTACAATACTATTCTAATATACAAGCTACAATAAAATCTAATCTAACCAAATCTATGGGACTCATTCTCCCTAATCATTCATAAAAAAACCCACAATAAATTTAATAAATATTTTTTTATCCTGTTATAAATTATATATCTATAAATCTGTTCAAAGAAGTACAGTTTCACTAAAATGTTACATTTAGTAATATTAGTATATAATACCATTATGGCATGCATACCTTATTGTCTTCCCAATAAAGTGCAAAACATTCATCTCCAGGTTTCCACAGTTTTGCATACTCCATAGGAACAGATGGTTCCAGTACTTTTTCTGGTTTAATTGGCCCAGATCTTCTTTTGGGACCACTATTATAAAATACTTTATCATCATAGGGTGTGGCTGTGGTGGGTCCTGTTGGCTTAATAGGTCCTATGCGCCTTCCCTTCAGTGGCATTTCTGTCTCTCCATTTGGAACACCAATGAAACTATTAGTTCTGACAGGATTCTGGTAATCAGTATTTATAGGAAAATGTTTTTCAATTTTTACACCACTGAAAGCTTCATTATTTATTGTTCGTGGTTTCCTGTCATAAAAATGATCAGGATTTGCTGTTTGGTTTTCTCTTTTCCCACGTTTTTGATTATTATAATCTATGGATTCTTGAGGAAGTGGATTTTCTTTTGCCTCTGCATAGGCTGGACCTCTTCCTGATCTGTTTTGCATAGAGTTATCTCTTTTTCTAAAAGCACCATCATTGTGCTGAGAACCTAAAGGGTATGAGGTGTCTTTAGTCCTATCATATCTAGAATAGGGTCTATCACATCTGATTCTCTCTTCAGCCCATCCTTCAGATCCTGAAGAAGTACTTGGTCTTTCAGTGCCTCTATTCCTAGGCAATCCACTGCCTTCTAAAATTGACTTCGAATTTTGGGTGTCTCTTTGAAAACGAGGGGGTTTTTCATTTCTTGGCTGTCTGGTATCATTCCGAGGAAGATATCTTGTTTGATTACTGTCTTTTATTCCATTTTGCTCAGTATTCAACAATCTGTGTTGCCCCTGATGAAGCTGCTGCGGTTGTGATTTAGGCTCTGAAAAGTAAACCATATGCACATTAAAATGATGATTCTGAATTAACACTTATTTTAAAATGTCTAAAAATTGTAATAATACAAAATGATCAAACTCTATTTTAACATCTTTCACTGTCTTCCCACTGATTATCTTCATCCCTCTCTGCTTCCTTAGAATCCTCTATTTCTAATGTACAGTGTCCTGAGTCAGCCACATTAGTGAAGTAAAGCAATAATATGTATGAAACATGAAAACAATGGTGGAAAATTTAAAAACAATTCATCTTTGTCATTGAATGTTTGCATTCTTATAAAATAGTTAGTTATATATGCAATTCTGGTAATTCATTTCCCAATACATTAATGAAATAGAACTGTAAACTGCTAACTAACTCAGAAGCTGCTTTAAAACTGCACAAGTACAACCCTTGTCCAACTTCTTTCTGAATCCCACTCCAATTTAGATACGTATGCCTATTACTGTCAGTCAAACTCTAACCTTCGCAAAAATGTCATTTCTAAAAATCTTTCTGGATTTGGAATGGCTAAGTTTTTGGAGTACAAAATAAATACCCCATTATAGAAAAGAGTTAATAATTTTCTTGACCTATCAAAGTAATTAAAAGCAAATCCTACTTGGAAATACAGAAACTTGTCAATATGATTAAGCACAATAGTTCAAATAATATCCAGCTAGATACCAAAAGCAGTACCGTGGTAAATATATATTCATAGATAGGGTAATGACTGTTTTTCACACGGTGATTTTTATTTTATTTCAATTTGTACCATGTCATTTACTAGTACACGTTATTCCTCTGTTGTTTCACACAACATGTCTATAACATTATTACCAAACACACTGATTTGTCTTTGGTATACATGTCTTGCTTCTCTTGTCATACCCCATAACCAATGTGTAGGTCAAGATTATTCTTATATTTCCCCAAGGTCAACAGGCCTTCTATTGACATTTTGGGTGAGATTGTTTCCTGCACTGCAAGAAAATTAACCTCTTTGACTTCCATGAACTAAATGCCAAAGCACTCTCTCCCAGCATTCCCAGTGTCTCCTCCATACATTCCAAACACCCACTAGAGGTAAAAACAAAACAAAACAAAAAAACAGATAAAATGTTTAAATCAACAGGAAGAAAGAGAAGATCTTTAAAAGTTCCTGAGTGACAAAAAAAAAGCCATAGACTAAAGATCAAGACTCAAAATGGCAAAAAACCCCAAAAAACCTTTTCAACAGAACCACTGGAAGCTAGAAGCCAATCTAATAATTTGTAATGTCTTTGAAAAGAAAGGAAAACTATTTTCTAAGTACAATTCCACATCCAGCCAAACCACCCATTAATTGTGACAAAGAATTAAGACTTTTCAAATAAGCAAGGTAGCAAATACTAGCCAAGACCATTTACAGGGACATTTAAAAAAAAATTCTTTTTCTCAAGATCTGCCTTATAAGTATAACACAAATATCTTGTTTTTAACAGCTGTAGTCAACATTAAGTTTTTCTTTAGGGACAAGAAAAATGGTCATCTTTAGTTCCTGCTGGCATTATTTATTTTCCAGGAATAAAAATTCAGGGAAGAAAGAATAGTAGTGAATAAAAGCAGTACACCAATAAGCATTTTCAGCATAGAGCAGATATTGGCATTTGTTCCAGTCATTATTAGAGAATAAACACAGCAGTTGCCTCTTTCTATCTGCAGTGTATTAGGATCTGCACTTGCACTTTATCATCAAATAGTCCCCACAGTAATCTTGAGATACAAATGTTATGGGGCTTTATGTAATAAAGAGAAGTAAAGTCCCTTGTATGGTGAATTGAAGAAAATTTTCAGCTTCCAAAAGAAGTCAGAGATGAAAATATTTTATTTGCTGTCGTTAGACTTAAACAGATATTTGAGAAGGAAGCATTTTAGAGGGCTGTGTTTAGGGATCAATGTGTCTTATTACTCCAGTTAGGGCCACTGATATCTCTGATGGTCAGAAAGTACAAATATATTAGCTCATCACAGGAGTTGCTACCCATCCTGAACTAGAGATGGGGTTCTGGATAACCATATATACAAAATGAAGGCCTCAACTAGGCTTGATAGGGGTAGGAGAATTTTTCAGTTTTTCTAGAAGAAAAAAAAGATTTCCTAATCTATTTTATTGACAATATATATTAGATTACAGAATAAAATAAGTGATGTTACTAATAATAAGCACACTTCAATTCCAATAATGTGCTGAGATAATAAAGTGAGAGAAGAATCTACAAAGATTACTTTTTAAAATAATCCTCACTTGAGGATATTTCCCTCCCCCCCTCATTGCTTTTCAGAGATAGTAGGTGGGGGGGGGGGCAGGCGGGGGAGACAGCAAGAAAGAGAGAAACATCAATGAGAAAAAGACACATTGACTGCTTGCCTCCTGCTTGCGCCCAGATTGGGGGATGGGGAAAGCGAACCTGAAACCCAGGTACGTGCCCTAGACCTGGAATGGAACCTGAGACCCTTCAGTACGCAGGCTGACATTCCAAACAATGAGCCACACTGGCCAAGGCAAGAAAATTACTTTTTAAAATAAAAATTAAAAAGAAAGAAATACAATGACAAAGAGGATAAGCTTTTAAAAGAACATAGTTTTCACATATACCCATTTCTTTTTTTTCTTTTTTTTAAATATATTTTTTATTGATTTTTTACAGAGAGGAAGGGAGAGAGATAGAGAGTTAGAAACATCGATGAGAGAGAACCATCAATAATAAGCTGCCTCCCACACCCCTCCCACTGGGGATGTGCCCCAACCGAGGTACATGCCCTTGACCAGAATCGAACCTGGGACCTTTCAGTCCGCAGGCCGACGCTCTATCCACTGAGCCAAACCGGTTTCGGCACCCATTTCATTTCAAAATAAAATAACAATAAGCCAAGAAAAGAAAGTCCTTACATGCTTCATGGTTCTCAGATATCCTTTTGTCTTAGGTAGTTGAGTAATGAAGTCAGATATAAAGTAAATATTTTGAAAACGAGCTAATCTATTAAAAAATAACAGAATATGTACAATTACTAAACTGTGGAAAAGGTAATTTTAGGTAAATTAAGAAACAGACCTCAAATCAAATAGAAAGCTCCTCAATTCTCTAGTCAAAATCCAATTGCTCTCTGCCACCCTTCCTGAGGAGGTAGAATGATTCCAAAACTAAAAATACTAATCAGCACCACAGGCCAGGTACACAATCACTCTAATAAAAATATACCCAGATATTTTTCTGTATAAACAACAGAATAAAATGAATCAACGTGTGTGTGTGTGTTTTTTTTTATGACCTGAAGGGAAAGATGAAACATAAGTATAAACCAGAAACTGGTAATATTTAATAGAAAAAAGAAAAAGGATGATTAGCAAAAATGATGGAAAAATTTCATCACAAAATAACTAAACCTGTGAAAACATCTAAAAAATCACAGTGATGAATGCTTACATGAAAAAAAGTCAAGAATGCTGTGTGAATTTAATTTGACCAGTGATAAAATGTTCCTGTTACACCAGATCATGAATTTCAAAATGTTTACAAGATAATTGGTTACAATATTTTGCATCACCACGATTTGAAATATAGGAATTAAGAGTGAATTAATTAATTGCCATGAATTCTTTGGGGTTTTATATGAATTCTTCTTGGCAAAATATTCATTTGCCAGTCAGTTGTACCTGCATTTTATAGTAGAAAAAGGTACATTTTGTTTCTTCATTTTATTTTGAGAAACGTACCTGAAAAAGTGACTTAATATTTATTAAGATTTTATTATTGCCTGACTCCACATTAAAGGTCTTTTGCCTACATTATTTCATGTAATTTTCATATCCACCCGGCAGGCCTATGTTAATATCCTTATTTTACTAGTGAAGAAACAAAGCAAAGCTAGCAGTTAGGAAATGTTAAAGCCAGAATTTAAACCCAAATCTAACTGAAGCTAAAGCCCACACTTTTTCCACCAGGCCAAGCTGCCTGCCCAGAGAAACAAAACAGAATGTAACCAACAGCATGCTAGCTACAGCTTTATCAGCTACATCTGTTCATTTCTGGGAGATGAAGAAATCACAAAAACTCTTTAACAATCCCCGATGGACTGAAAAAATAAAGTTGTGAACTAGGATTGCCAGAATACTGACCTAAAGTTAATAATCTTTCTATTAAAGCAGAAAAAACAAAAACCCCTATTAACAGTTGGACTGCTGCTTAGAAGCTCACCAACTGGCACTTACAGGTAGCATAATGTGCAGGATGCAGCCGCTAGACAGGGACTGAATAGCTACATCACAGCTCTGCCACCTAGTAGTTCTGTAACTCCAGGCAAGTTATTTAACTTTTCTGAGCCTCACCTTTAAGATAGGGATAACAGTAGCACCTATCTCAGAGGATTACCTATGTACTTAGAACTCTATCTGGCTTTAATAAGCACATAATAAATTTAGCTGTCATTGCTATTATGATCATCTATAATAATAAAAACATAATATGCTAATTAGACTGGATGTTCTTCTGGACGACTTTCCAGATGAAGCTGCGGTGGTGAGGGCCGAGGCAGCCACCATGGCAGCGGGGGCCGAGCCCCTTACACGAATTTCATGCATCGGGCCTCTATTTAGTATTATAATTATGCAAATAAACATAATGAATTACATCAAGAAAAAAACAATTCTTGGATGATAAGGTGCTTCCCTATTTACACATCTTCACCACCAACAACCTCACCTTTAGTTAGTATCTTTAGCTTCCTTGCTTTAGTTTGTTTCTATTTCTTCTTGTTGAAATCAGGGTAGAAAGAATGACTTAGTAAAAACTTGTTTGTTGCCAAATTATCAAAGTCATATTACAGAGAAAATTTAGATACATTAGAAAAATCAAATTCATATTATAATATGGTTTTTCATTTAAAGCCCTATCTAATAATAGACAAAGATGAAAATTGACTGTATCTTCGCTTTGCCCACCATCGGCTAATCAAAGTGATATG